AGGGGATTACTTCAATGTCCGTCAAAGAAATCCTCACCAGCCTCGTCGATGATGGAATGGTGGACACAGATAAAATCGGAACCTCTGTGTATTTCTGGGCCTTTCCCAGTAAAGCAAGTCAAAATGTAAGTTATGGTTGACAAAGATGAAATTGGAAGTATTTGGAACCTCTGTACAGTGTACAGCAAATCTCAGTTATAGCGAAGTCACTGGGACCTATGAAATTACTTCACTATATCCATAATTAGTTATAACCGTAAAAGAAATTCATTACATTTATATATTTAGGGATCCAAGATGACTTTGCTGTATCTGTGAATTCGCCATATCTGTGTTCGTACTAACTGAGTTACTACTGATTTTCTGGGGCTTTCCAAATAAAGCAAGTCAAAATGTAAGTTATGTTTGACTGGGTAAATTGGAACATCTGTGCGTTTCTCAGTTTTCTGTCAAAAAGCAAGTCAAAATGTAACCATGTTATGCTTTAAAAAAATAATATGACAATTTATTCCTGCTTGGATTCTTTCCAAGCATAACAATATTTCATGAAATTGAACAGTTTAAATGTGGACTTCTAAAATAATGCTTTTATTTCAAAGTTTTAACTGTTATAATACTGCAAATTTAATTCCTTATGAGTAGATATAAACTCCATGTGTCCAGGGAAGGAAGTTCTCAATAAAATATACAAGGAAGATCTTATGTCATTGAAAATAGATAAAGTAATTTTATATTCCTATGTATTCTATTTTTTACCATAAACAACTAGAAAACACTAAGAGTGTATTTCAGTTTTACTTTTTAGAAACACTTGCAAGTCTTCCTGTAAATGTCTTGTTATAAAAGTTTTTCCTGATTGTAAATATAAAATATTCATAGAATGGGAAAATATCTTGTAATTTTATTAGGATCTGTATCACATCACAAATAATTGTTTTACCTTTCTTAACTCAATTAAGGTACACTTTTAAAGGTTTCATTTGTATATGATTGTATATGCCTCAATCATTTTAGTGTTCAGAGATCAAATTTAAATTATTCCCATTGAACATGTGAAGGGAAACAATGTTCAATCTTTTGTGTACAAATTTTTCGAAGAAACCTAAACTATATAAGACAAAGTTATCTGTAAATGTCCAAAAAGTTATTTTGAGCATAGAAACAAGTTTATTTTAAGGGGTTGGTAGGTCTCAAAATCATTTTCTCAATAATCCAATCAATGCATAAGTCCTTTCATGTTGGTCATATTTTTTTCTAGCGAAAACGAAAACTTGATGATTTGACAAACAAGATCAAAGAATTGAATGAAAGAAAGCAGTTTTTGGAGGACAGTGTAAAAAAAGCCAAAGTTGGAAAGGAAGATACTGTGAGTTTTACTCAATTCTATTTAATTTGTCATTTTGCACTTCCCAGTTTTAATTGTTATAATTTATGACTTCCAGACTAATGAAATTTTCTACAGCCATTAATTTTAAGTACTTTATAAAACTATAGGACAAAAGATCTGAAATCCTCTCTGAGTTGGAGGAGAAAAAACAGGAAAAAGCTTCCTTACAGAAGGAGATTGAGAAATATCGGGAATGTGATCCAGAGGTGTTAGAGGCAGTAGTCAAACAAACCGGGGAGGCTAAAGAGGCAGCTAATCGCTGGACAGGTAAGGAAGAAATCGATTAAACAGGTCTTGCTTACATTGGTAGAGAGGAAGTTATAAATTAATGTAGGTAATCAGACTTCAATTTTCTTGAAAACCAAAAGTCCAAGGTTAAACACTGAAAAATCTAGGACCTGAAAGGGTTATATACAGTCTTCACATGAATATAAAGGGAAAATCTCAAGAAAAAATCATAAAAGTCATTTCTGTCTATACTTTCAATAGGCAATAAGCAATGATTATATGAACATCACACCTTACAATCAAACTATAACAAGACTGTTTTAATATGTCATACCAAAAAAAGTTTAACAGAGGAAAATTGCTTAAATACCCAATTTTATGTTAACGCCCCGAAAGTCTACCTGATTCAAGATCAATAATTTACCGCCTGTCAATCATTAAAAAAACAATAGCTTCTGATTTGATTGACAGGTCAGCTACCTGTGCTTCATGATAATCTGAGTTTGCATGTTTTGAAAACAATTACCTGGTCACGCGTCAAACGCGTTCATGTACCTGCATAGTATACACGCGGATTAGAAAACTCTAATATGTTTGAATTTTATTTAAAAAAATAATTGAAAGTAGATTATTTAAATATTGACATTATAAAATATTTCTTTTCTATCTTCACTGCTGTTTGTTAATTGTAAGTGCTATATTGTCCACGTTTATCTGTATACCGCGTCCACAGAAACAGGCTCTATTTGCCGTAATTAGAAGTCCGACGAATTAAATTATTTTTTAAGAAATGGGATATAAGAATTAAAAAAAAAATATTGAGCACTAATAAACGGCATAGTATAGTTTTTAAAAGATGTTTTTTTTCTACTATGGCTACAATCCGCACGATGTTGTACAGAAATTGATGTCAGAATTAATGCGCGAATTTCCTCTAGCGTCTGTAGATATACGTAATGAAAATGTGAAGATAATTAATAGTGAACGATTCTGAAAAGAAATCTTTCTAAGAATAAAATTTTGTTTACACACGAAGAATCAAAAATGTGGAATATTTTGGACAACATTGTTGGCCATAAAAAAAGAAATTCCGATCACGGTAAATGCATCACAGTTCACATGCACGACGAATAGGTGGATCAATAATTTTTTTTATTTCAATAGTCAGACTTTTTAAATCAAGTTTCTTTTATTGAAGATTAAAAAAGATAAATATTATTGATATGTAGTTTTTACTCGTGAATTTTTCTTTTATGTAAGGAAAACATTTTCTAAAACGATATACTTGTAACTTATTATTTTTTTTCCTTCAAAACATTACCATGATTTCGATGAATGCGTTTAATTTACAAATAAATTCCATATTAAAATAATTATGCCCCCCTTCGAAGAAGGGAGGGCATATTGCTTTGCTGCTGTCTGTCGGTCGGTCTGTCGGTCCACTTAGTTTCCGTTCATTTTCTTCGCAACCCTTGCACATACTGAAATGAAATTTGGTATACAGATATATCACATGAATATCTAGGTCACGTTTTGTTTTGGGTACAATCACACCTTATTTGACAGAGTTATGCCCCTTGGACTTAGAAACATTTCAATTATTTGCAGTTTCCGTTCATTTTCTTCGCAACCGTTGCACACACTGAAATGAAATTTTGTATACTGATATATCACATGGATATCTAGGTCAAGTTCTGTTTTGGGTACGATCGCACCATTTTTGACAGAGTTATGCCCCTTGGACTTAGAAAAATTTCAATTATTTGCAGTTTCCGTTCATTTTCTTTGCAACCGTTGCACACATTGAGATGAAATTTGGTATACAGATTTATCAGATAAATATCTAGGCCAAGTTCTGTTCTGGGTACGATCGCACCATTTTTGACAGAGTTATGCCCCTTGGACTTAGAAAAATTTCAATTATTTGCAGTTTCCGGTCATTTTCTTCACAACCATTGCACACACTGAAATGAAATTTTGGATACAGATATATCACATGAATATCTAGGTCAAGTTCTGTTTTGTGTATGATCCGCACCATTTTTGACAGAGTTATGCCCCTTGGACTTAGAAAAATTTCAATTACTTGCAGTTTCCATTCATTTTCTTCGCAATCGTTGCACATACTGAAATGAAATTTAGCGTACAGATTTATCAGAGGTATATCCATATCTAGACCAAGTTCTGTTCTGGGTACGATCGCACCATTTTTGACAGAGTTATGCCCCTTAGACTTAGAAAAATTCCAATTATTTGCAGTTTTCGTTCATTTTCTTTGTAGAGGTTGCACATACTGAGATGAAATTTGGTATACAGATTTATCAGATAAATATCTAGATCAAGTTCTGTTTTGGGTACAATCGCACCATTTTTGATAGAGTTATGCCCTTTTGGATGTAGAAAAATTCCAATTTGGGGGGAGGGGGGTATAAGTGTTTTACAAACATCTCTTGTTATTTTACGTAGTTTCACTCAAAACCAGACACAAAACACGTAATGTTGACCCTGATTACCAAACACAGACTTCCTGTGTAATGCTACGTATACACAGATTTTTGACATCTTGGGTATTGGGGGTCTCCAGGTAAATAACACCACTGTTACTTTGACCACTCCCTCTCCTCAGGTAACCGTACGGTAAAAAAATTGGTTCTGTAAGTTAAATTACACTGTTTGAAGTGGTCAAAACATTGTTTCCTAAAATCAAAAGGTTAAGTTTATGTCATCTCACCTGAAAGTCTAAACTAGAAACACTTGACTATTGATAGTCTTTTTTATACACCCGTCGTAAGACGGGACGTATTATGTTATAGGCTTCATGTCCGTCTGTCCGTCTGTCCGTCTGTCCATTCCTGTCCGGCTCATAACTTGAATACTATTAGGCCTAGGATTATGAAACTTTGTCAACTTATACTTCTTGGGTAGACGGTGTGTTGCGCACAAAAGGTAGGTCGCTCTGACCTTTAATAAAGATGCTATAGCCAAATATGGAAAAATCCTGTCCGGCTCATAACTAGAAAACTATTAGACCTAGAGCTTTCAAACTTGGCAAACGTATACATCTAAAGTAGAAGGTGTGTCGCGGCCTATTTCTAGGTCACTGTGACCTTTAATTAAAGTGAATTTTTTTTAAAAACTAAGTCTTTTAAATTCTAAATTTCATAATCCTAAACAATGTAAAAATATAGTTGTATGCTTATTAAAAAACGTTAAATTAAGTAAAAACTTATTTTTTCATTATATACTTTACAGCAATCTGTAACAAATGTTTATGCTTTGAGAGGAATTCAGTTTGTCCCATGGGCTTAATTATCAAGCACTGGTCTGACAAGAAGAATTTTGATAGCAGAAATTTGCATGTCAAATTAGAGAGAAATTAATGAGTTTATTGTCAGGAGCTAAGAGCATCTCTAGATCTGATGCAGATGTTATCTTAATTTATCTCTTGGGAGTTGGGCAAAAAGAAATGGCCTCATAGTTGCTTGTGCTAATTAAGAGTTCTTGATGGCTAGTCCAGATAAAGATCTTTCAATTGATGTAATGTAATTAAAACAAATTGATGTTTTAGAGTATGATTAAAACTAAATTAGTATTGTATAATATGATTAAAACTAATTATATATGTGGTCATTGAAAAAAAAATTATATTTCAATTTTTATATATTTGCAACAAAGATGCTATAGCAAAATATGGAAAAATCCTGTCTGGCTCATAATTAGAAAACTATTAGACCTAGAGCTTTCAAACTTGGCAAAAGTATACATCTAAAGTAGAAGGTGTGTCGTGGCCTATTTCAAGGTCACTGTGACCTTTAATTAAAGTGAATTTTTAAAAAAAAAACTATGTCTTTTAAATTCTAAATTTCATAATCCTAAAAAATGTAAAAATATAGTTGTATCCTTATTAAAAAACGTTAAATTAAGTAAAAACTTATTTTTTCATTATATACTTTACAGCAATCTGTAACAAATGTTTATGCTTTGAGAGGAATTCAGTTTGTCCCATGGGCATAATTATCAAGCACTGATCAAGAAGAATTTTGATAGCAGAAATTTGCATGTCAAATTAGAGAGAAATTAATGAGTTTATTGTCAGGAGCTAAGAGCATCTCTAGATCTGATGCAGCTGTTATCTTAATTTATCTCTTGGGAGTTGGGCAAAAAGATGCTTGTGTTAATTAAGAGCTCTTGATGGCTAGTCCAGATAAAGATCTTTCAATTGATGTTCTAGTGTATGATTAAAACTAAATTAGTGTTGTATAATATGATTAAAACTAATTATACATGTGTTCATTAAAAAAAAAAAAAATTATATTTCAATTTTTATATATTTGCGACAAATTGCAGTCATGTCTCACTAGTATTATTTGTTATACACAATCCCTACACTGTAAGTCTCTTAGAGATGTATAATAAGAAATGGAAATTAGATAATGAAATCTGTGTCAATCTGTTAATCAAGGCTACCTGATTTTCTTGCATCCTAACCAATGTATGATTATTGAACAATATTTGATGGGCGTATCATGCTGTGGCGGGTCACTTTATTCCTTCATGAAGTTAATTTAAGTGGAAATGAAGGGGAGAAAGAATTTTTTTCATTTAAAAAAAAAAATTGCAGTATGAAATTCATCCACATATTCTTTATTCTTTCTTGCAGATAATGTTTTCTCCATAAAGTCGTGGATTAAAAATAAATTCCAGTTTGAGGAAAGCGTGATTGATAAACAGTTTGGAATTCCAGATGATTTTGACTATATTGAATAATCCTTCATTTAATATTGATGATTATTATTGTTATATTACAAGTGTTTGATGTGATATTTTTATGTTTGCCTGTTTTCTAATTAAAAAATAATCTTTCAATTCTAACAGAAATTTTTTTGTTAAATCCTTGCTATAAGCAAATGTTGAAATATGTTTGAACAGAACGCATACTTTTGTGCATTGGCAACCTTTTCCCGATTCTTTAACTCTATATTAATATTTTATAGCTTGCTGGCAGAGAATAAAAAGCTCATATGCCATGGCTTTGTGCCAGTCTATCTTTCTAGTTTGATTTTAAAATTTTGTTCAATCAAGGAGGTTAGGTCCAATTCCAATTAAACTTGGTACACATTTAGTAGACTGCATCAGGATAAACAATTCTATTATCTGTTTTTGATATCTATAAGAAATGTTGCCATGCTTAAAAAAGAATTTCTGGGGAGTTTGTTTAGTGTACAAGTCATTTTACATAGTAAAGAGACGCCTAGTTTTCAATTTCGTTTTCTGTTTATTTTGTCTGTCGCTTTCCCATTGTGAAAATATTAAATTCGATCGCTTCTGGTTTATTGATAAAATGTTGTAGAAATTTTCTCGTAGGAGTTACCGAAGGAAAATTTCCTAAACATCATTATTTATGGATCCAGCTGTTGGCATTTTATAAAAAAAAATATATATACGATGATATATATTATGATATTTAATCCTTAATTATTTTGCATCCTAAATGCAACATATGATTTGATTCAATTGATATACTTCATGATATGTAGTACATATATTTACCGTTAATTAATAGCATTTATTTTTAAATGCATGTATTTAAAGCAATAAGGAAATAAAACTGTGTTCTATAAGTTAATAAGAATATAATTTAAATAACAGTGTTTAATATCCCCTCGAAGGAGCATTTTCCGATTGACAGATGCTTACATGAAAACACACAAAACATCCCGTTAGAAGATGTAAGCGTAAAGATGACAACGTTCTTTATACTGGTTCGTCTAGCTCTATGGTGTTACTGTTTGCAAGGAACAACGATTTCTATGAGGATTAACTGGTGTATGCATTCCGAGTAAGTGGCAAATCACTATAATGTTTCATAAACATTTAGCCTCAAAGATACAGCCAACCGTTTATACTCACTTCTTAGATATATAGATGAATAGCTAGCTATACATGTAACACTTTGCCATTAAATTCAAGGATACACTTGTATCATTTATAATAAAACCTTAAAAAAATATTCGTCTTTAATGTTTTTGTCATAAGATTTTGTCATTAGAACTATAGAAAATTCTTTTTCAAAATGTAATAACAGTCAAATTACCTCTCAGTTGATGCATTTCAGATAAGTAATCAATTGAAACTTAATTGAAAACTTCAAACATAACATTTACCTCGTCAATCTTTTACGCGGGATGTGCTCAAATGCTTACTGACCGAGTTTGAAATTGTTTAATGAAAAATTTTACACGTATATATCAATTTTGTGTTTGTTTCTTTGTCGATGCATACCAGTTACGGGTAAACTAGCCTAAAATCGGAAAGGGGGGCTAATCAAAAGTGGAGGGGGGGGGGCTAAACAAACACAAAGTTTAGCCCCAATTTTCAATGCCTATATATTATATCTATTTTTTGCAAAAAAAAGTGGCCTCTAGCCCCCCCCCCTCCCCCCGGTTCGGACGCCTATGGAACTGGCCCAAAATTACGTTTTGCTTCCGAAGCGACTTGTGAATGGCTGGTCAAACTCAATTCATATGTCGCTTCTCAGGTAACAGTAATCATCACCTGATGCAAGGGTGTTAGAATAATACTGTTACCTGTTTAAATGAATTCAAACAAGCCAATGCCAATCACATTTTATAATATACCCAGCAAACTGAAAATAAGACACTAGAGTTTGCTACATTTGTTTTATATACTCACCGTCAATAGAAACGCAACACCTTAATTTTAGGGTGAAAATTATATACAGGTTATATAACTATGTACCAAAAAAGATAGGACATCTTTTACTTTGCCAAATCGGTTATTTAATGGTTGGATGAATTTCTTTCCATTACCGGAAGTTGCTTTTTTAGCCCTCTTAACAGAATTCAAAATTTTCCATTTTTGATAAAATTTTAACAATATTTTGGGTTTCCAAGGTTTTGAAACTGTTAATCATAAGTATTGCACTAAAAGGCCGGGAAAAAAAATCCTTCTTTCTTTACCGGATGTGATGCCTATATTTCCTCAAAATGACTGATAGCAAGAAGGGGGGATGTTTTAAGAGTTATGTTTTACCTTCTAAAGTTTAATGATAACATTAAAAATGAATATATTTAGGTAAAAAGTAAATTTACCAAAAAATAATGCTCCATTTAAACATTAAATGTTATTTTTAGACCTTAAAAAGAAACAAATACCCAGTAAATCTTAAAACATCCCCCCTTCCGACCATTTAATGAAAACGTGCTAGTCCGCCATATACAACAAATGCAGCCCGATTTTTACCATGCATTAAGTTTATTAATGTCTTAATCTGAGCGAAATTAATATTCTTGGGCATTTTTGAATACATGATTTTCAGATATTGCGGTCGAATTTTCTCTAACCTGGCGTAGTGTAGCAACTTTTGGACTTCCGGTCAAGAAACTGTCATTTATGCTATTGAAACACATGAGCCTGATGAGTCGTGATATAGTGTATATTTGCATCTGCACTCTTTTTTTCTTTATTTTGAGAATTTCCAGCATTAGCAATGAAAATCAGTCATTTTGAGGAAATATAGGCATCACATCCGGTAAAGAAAGAAGGATTTTTTCCCCGGCCTTTTAGTACAATACTTATGATTAACAGCTACAAAACCTTGAAAACCGAAAATATTATTTAAAATTTCAGTATAAATGCAAGGTTTTTAATTTTGTTAAGAGGGCTAAAAAGCAACTTCCGGTAATGGAAAGAAATTCATTCAACCGTTAAATAATGATTTGGCAAAGTAAAAGATGTCCTAACTTTTTTGGTACATAGTTATAACCTGTATTTAAATTTCACCCTAAAATTAGGGTGTTGCGTTTCTATTGACGGTGAGTATATTTGAAAGTTCCACCGCCTTTAGACGACAAGGGCAAACTAACAACTTAACTGTATGAAAGACGAGATGACTTCAGGCTTCAGATATATAATTTGCTGTCACATTATACATTTATTGCATGATAGTGAGAAAAATATGAAGACTTATTCAGCCAAGAAATATCATATTCCCCTCGGGCAAAGCCCTCGGGGAATATGATTTTTCTTGGCTGAATAAGTCTTTATGTTTCCCGAACATTCATGCAATGAATTGTTTATTATACCGAAACAAGCAAAATCTTTGAAATATATAAACATAGACTTTCGAATTCGGAACCGCTCTCAAATTCACTTTCATTTTTAGCTCTACTGGTCAGAGACCAGAAGAGCTTATGCGATAGTAATGCGTCCGGCGTCCGTCCGTCCGTCTGTCCGTCTGTCTGTAAACAATTTTTCAAAATGCTACTCCTCCTACAGTTTTGGTCTAATTTCAATATAACTTGGCACACAAGTTGACTACACTAAGATACATAATTCTGTATATTGGTTTTTGATTTCGATAAACGGTGTTGCCATGGTTACTAAAAATAGAAATTTCTGTGAAATTCTTTCAAAATGCTACTCCTCCTACAGTTTTGGTCTGATTTCAATATAACTTGGCACACAAGTAGACTACACTAAGATACATAATTCTCTATATCGGTTTTTGATTTCGATAAACGGTGTTGCCATGGTAACTAAAAATAAAAATTTCTGTTATATTTCTTTCAAAATGCTACTCCTCCTACAGTTTTGGTCTGATTTCAATATAACTTGGCAAACAAGTAGACTACACTAAGATACATAATTCTGTGTATCGGTTTTTGATTTCGATAAACGGTGTTGCCATGGTAACTAAAAATAGAAATTTCTGTGAAATTTCTTTCAAAATGCTACTCCTCCTACAGTTTTGGTCTGATTTCAATATAACTTGGCAAACAAGTAGACTGCACTAAGATACATAATTAGGTTTATTGGTTTTTGATTTCCATGAACGGTGTTGCCGTGGTTACTAAAAATAGAAATTTCTGTAAAATTGTTTCAAAATGCTACTCCTCCTACAGTTTTGGTCTGATTTCAATATAACTTGGCACACAAGTAGACTACACTAAGAACATAAAGTACTTTTCTCTTCCTTTGCTATAAGTACAAACCAGTAGAGCTTCAGTCTCGACAGAGACTTCTGGTTTACGTAAAGTTACTATAAAACCCTTTGGTCAACACATTATCATCAGTTTTATGACGTAAACCAGGCTATTGTGACGTCTAATTTTCTCGGGAGTTTTCGTTCAACGAACGAGAACTAAATTGCGGGAAAATACACTAAGTGTTCCGAAGAGGTGGAATATGATGAAAAGCGTGCCGACGGCCGGGGAATATGAAGTTTTACGGCCCGATCACGTGATAACTTAGAACCAATCAGATAACGCGTTGTTTAGAATATTTATAATGAGGTGTAATAAATGTGTTTGTCCTCCTAACTTACTTGATAGAAAAGAGTATGCTCCCAGTAAACTGAGACAGGCTACTGATAGATAAATTGAATTCACAGGGATCTCAACAACCGCTTTTGTGTAAATTGAATGTTCGTTATAATGACTTAATTCTATTTTGGTGACGTGTTTCGTAACAATTGTTAGGTCTGCTTTTACGATTTTCATACTATCTGATGAATATATAGGGTTCAAGGCGGATGTGACCGGACGACAGGGGATCCCGACTCCTCCTTGGCACCTGATCCTACCACTGGAATAGTTTTTGGCCGTGGGTCCGAAATTTTTGCATATTCGTAAATTTTTAGGCCCTATATTGTTTCAACATTATTTTAGGCTGATCATTGTTCGTTAACCCTGACCTGTTTTACTAACCTCTTAATTAAAGCATAAAATGTATACAATGTATATAATCGTCATTTGTTAACTGGCAAATAAACGGAGTATCAAGAGCATTTCTGAAGGACAGATTCATGGCATAAACCTTAATAACCCGTAACATAGCACCCATTTGCATTTCAGCGGTTCTATGTCCTGTTGCACCAGTTATTTTGAAGAGGATGGTGATTGTTATGGTAAGCTTTACTTCATCATCTTTCGAAAAAAGTACATCGTGATTGACATTTTTCAAGACTTTTATTAAGAATAATAACAATCACATGTGGTATCTATTTTTAAATATATTTTTAAGACTAAACCAGTAAATTCCACTCAAATCAATCAATTAAACAAATCAATTATTAATTATTATCCATACAAATTCTTAATCATTAAATTAGCACAATAAATATCAATTAATACACTTTATTCTCAGAATGCGTCGGATCACATGGCAAGAATTGTTCAAATCCGTGTCCTCAAAATTATTTTGGGCCAAGATGCACAAGACAATGCCAGTGTCTAGAATCTGAATGTGATAAAATCTACGGATGTCCTAAAGGTATATCTAAAATAATTATATCTATTCATCAAACCTTCTCTATGACATCCATTCATTGTTCATATACACTGTATAAATTCAACAGAAACAACTTTCACAATTCTTGAGACAAGCACTGCAAATGTTGTTGACAAAAGTCAAAGCAGTCGACATTTACAAGTTTCAAGCAGTTCAGCATCAGAAGAACAAGGTACAGTATTAACCAAAAATGCCGCGTTTAAGATTCGCTTTGTTGAAAACAATTTTAAAAGCTTAGAATTTTTTTTTTATTTTAGAAATAAATGGTATATAATTTACAGTCTGTTTACGTAATACTAAATGCATGCATTGTAAAGCTCTATGCTGTTCTTTTTATAGCAGAACGTCGAGATTTAACGAAGCATTTTTTAAGACGCGACTTCATACGTTTAACGTGAATCCGACATAATCTGAAAAGCAAAAAAGTTACTCGCTAGGACTTTGTTGTTAATTTGTTGTTAAGTTGTTAATTTTGTCAATACGTCGTCGTCGTTCTTTTTATTATTATTATTATTATTTTTTATTTTTATCATTATAATAATTGTTATTTATATGTAATCATCCAGGAATGTCTCTCGGCTTTAGTTGATAGCATAAAAGCTAAATGAATTTAAAGTGCAACAGAAGAACTGGAAGAAAAAGAAATAAACTGTGTATATGTCTTTTCTCTTGTAGTTTTGTTCTTATTTTATTGCAGTATTACGACTTCAATCCACAAAAAAAGTATTTTTCCAAAAATTTGAAGTCTCAATAACTTTAAGATGAAAGAAAATCATTACTGTATTTTTGTGTGAAATGCTATTAAAATATATAAGTCGTGATATTATACAGATTATATTAACTTCAAATCTGTGTCCATGCACCTTTAAAACAACATAATAGTCATCATTTATATCTTAATGCAATGATCTAAGCAGTGTAGTGTTGGAAGAATATTTTTTGGTGGGGAAGAGAGAGCGATGATGTCCCGAATTTAGCCTTCTTAGACAATTTCGGTTCCATAAAAGGCTAACGATTTGGGAAACACGAAGTCTTTCTGCTTGTTGTGGTTTGCCAGCATCCAGCTTCCCTACTGCTCTGGAGCTTTCGTCCATGCTCATATGCCTCCTCATAGCGTCTTATAATCAGTTCTGGCCAGAAATAGTGAAACTTTCTTATGTTCGCTAAATAAAACCCTCTTTGATACTTCTATCCTCCCATTGTTCCACTTACATCGGTAAAATATCTTATTCCGTATTTAACTTTTGCAAAATTCATATTAATCACAGTTGACAACCAACACTCCTTTTATAGTAGACTGAGATATGTACCATATGCGAAGTATAAAAGTAGTTGTTGCATGTGAAAGGGTATATTTTTAACTAAGATTATTCATTTTTTACTTTAATTAAACAATTTTAAAGGAACATGTTTAGCGCATATTAATGCAGTGACGTCTTAGTGAAAAAATACGTCATTTTTGTGCCCGTAGAATTTAGTTCGCATCTTACTAACTCCAATGCATATGAGGCGCCGTTTTGGTATTTACTGGCAAAAAGTGATATCACCTATTCGAATTGGTGATATCACCTATTGATTTTCAATAGGTGATATCACCTATTCAAAAGGGTGATATCGCTTATTCCAATAGGTGATATCACCTATTCGAATTGGTGATATCACCTATTGGGAATGAATAGGTGATATCACCTATTCAATTTGAATTGGTGATATCACCTATATGAATAGGTGATATTACCTATTTGAATTTCTTACAACAATAAATAATGAAAGCTCCTTGTAATATAAAGATTACCACTGGAACCAAGAAAATTCGGACTATCCAGTTTTCATGCATTTTTTCAATTTTTCTTAAAGTTTACATGACAGATAAGTGAAATAAATAAATTTGTGAGCAAAACAAACTACAATTTCTAAAAAGGTTGATTAAAATTAAATGCAAAAACTGTAATCTATTGTCTCCTAGAGTGATGAGTTATAATACGAAAATGAAAGTATATAAAATTTAGGAACCTATAGTCCTGGGAGCTGTTGTTATTTCATAAATAATTTGAATAGGTGATATCACTTATTCGAATAGATGATATCACCAATTCAAATCAAAAAGATGATATCACCTATTTGAATAAGTGATATCACTTATTCGAATAGGTGATATCATCTATTCTAATAGGTGATATTACCTATTCGAAATCTGAATAGGTGATATCACTTATTCGAATAGGTGATATCATCAATTGAATAGGTGATATCACTTGTTGGCAGTAAATACCAAAACGGCACCCCATAAATGCACAACATCGTTACATTACAAACGATACAAAGAAGATTAAAATATCGTATAATTTGCGGTCAATTACTGCTAATACCGTATTTGTTCTTAGTAACTTTCATTGAAAACCTGCAACTTCGACACTGGCTTGTCATCTGCAGTCTCTTTTTTCTGGAAGTATTGTTTTGTCTAAGTAATAACTGGGGAACAAGAGGTAAAAAATTGAATTGGATAATTTGTCTACATGTATCAATACAGTATCATTATAAATGTTCTATCTGTTAAATAAAAGGTCTCTTCTGCAAAAAAAGATGAATATATAAATAGACATTAAAAAAATAACTAAAAGGACGGAGGATATTGTAAAGAAAGCTTAAGTTGGAAAGGAAGATTCTGTGACTTTTACTCAATTTTATTTTGTCATTTTGCATATTCCAGTATAACTTGATATGATTGACACATCCGGGCTAACTAAGTTTACTCCAGCTATTAATGTAAAAAAAATTTTGAACTAGAGGACAAAATATCTAAAATTCTCTCAGAGATAAAGGTGAACAAACAGGAAAAAGCTTCTTTACAGAGAAAAAAGAGAAATATCGTGAATGTGATCCCGAGGTGTTAGAGGCAGTAATCAAACAAACTGGCGAGGCCAAAGAGGCAGCTAATCGCTGGACAGGTAAGTCAGAAATGACTTAAACAAGTCTCTATTACACAGGTGAGAGGAAGTTTTAAGTGCATGCATGGACCTATATACTAACCATATATTGTATATATGTCCCTGGTGCATGTAATGAGACTTAAATATTCTTGAAAACAAACTCCAAGCTGAAAGGTGGAGGCCTAGGACCTGAAAAGGTTACAAAGTCTTATCAGGAATATAAATGGAAAATCTAAAGGAAACAAACATGAGTCAATTCTGTCTTATTTTTGTCCTTTCAATAAGAAGTAGCAGTGCTTACATGTATATCTAAATTGCTCCAGACAGACAAACTATGACTTTATATTTCATACCAGAAAAAAGTTTCCCAGAGGAAAATTACTAAAATTACACCAGGTTTAATTATTGCAAACATTTTATCCTATGCTCAAAAGGTTCAGTTTATGTCATCTCATTGTTTGTAAGTTAAACATCTGAAAGTCCAAACTAGAAATATTCGACTATTGATAGTCTTTTTTTCCTTCATAAAGTTAATTTTAGTCAAAATAAAGTGGTGAGGGACAGTTATTTCAAGTGTTGTTTTATAAGTTACTTTGTAATTCATTGACAAACTCTTTATTCTTTCTTGCATATAATGTTTTTTCTATTTAGTCTTGAATTAAAAATAAGTTCCAATTAGAAGAAAAGTGTGATTGATAAACAGTTTGGAATTCCAGCTGATTTTGACTATATTGAATAATCCTTCATGTAATATTGATGATTGTTATTGTTATATTAAAAGTATTTGATGTGATATTTATATTTGCCTGTTTTCAAATTTAAAAAAAAGCTTTTATGTCAGAGAAAATAATTTGTAAAATACTACTAGAAGCAAATGCTACCTTCAGCTGCAATTATTTATAGTGCAAACATTGTACCCCCTTCTTGAGCTCAGTATTTTTAGTTTGCTGGCAGAGGATAAAAAGCTACTATATGTCATTGCAATGTGCCCATCTATCTTTCTAAGTTGACTGTAAACTTTTGTTCAGTCTAGGAGGTTTGGTTCCATTCCAATTAGACTTTGTACACATTTATAAAACTGCATCAGATAAACAATTCTATTTATCTGTTTTGATATCCATAAGAAATATTGCCATGCTTAAAAAAGATTTTCGAATTTGGGAAAAAGGTTCAGTATCAAAGTGATATTTTTCCGATTAAAGAGACGCTCCCCATTGTGAAAGCACTAAATTCGCTGCTGGTATATTGAAACATGAAATCATGTAGAAATTTGCTCTTAGGTGTTAATGAAGGAAATTATTTATGGACCGCTTGGCAGTTTATATTAAAAAATCTGATATACTAAATGTATATTTAATCTTTAATTAATTTACATCCTGTATTTTATAAATGCAACATATGCATGCATTGATTAGCTTGATATACTGATACATTATGAACTCTAGTATATTATATATTTCGATTGATAGCATTTAATTCAATACATGTATTTTTATAAATAAGGAAATAAAATTGTGTTCTACAAGTTAAGAATACATTTTTCAAATAACTGTTTAATATTCTCTCGAAGGAGCATTTTCCGATTGACGGATGCTTATACATGAAAACACACAAAAACATTACGTTAGGAGATGTAAGCACAAAAAATGGCAACGTTTTTACTGACTCGTCTAGCTTTATGGTGTTACTGTTTGCAAGGAACAACTATTCCTATGAGGAGTAACTGGTGTATGCATTCCGAGTAAGTAGCAAATCACTATGTTTAATTAAACTTTTAGCCTCAGAGATATAATCAACCGTTTATACATAAGTATTTCTCCTTGAAATATTTTTGTCAGTTTAATTACTATTTCAAAATGGTAATACATGCAGTTATATGAATCATATGGAGATAACGAACAGTATTTAAGATCAAAAGTCCATAAAACAATACAAAACAGGAGCAGAGCAAACACGGACCTCCAACACATCAGACGTAGGATCAGGTGCCATAAAGGAGTGGGCATTCCCTGCCGACCGGTCACAAGGTCATTGTATCGACCATAGAACTTAGAAATGATGACTTTAAACAAGACTGCTGATATTTTTGTTTCGTCATCTTGTTTGTCAATAATTTACCTTGTTTTAGAAATTGTTCATACGTAGAGCATGCTCTTGCGTATTGAATCAACTGAGATACATCAACTCCGTATGCAGGTAATGAAGGTATATTGCTGCATAAGTAAGGGAAGTTGACGATAGAAAAGTTAAAGTCATCACTTTTATCATAGAGCTTGGTTGTTAGATTACCATTGACGTCTTTTCAAGTAAAATATCCAAATAAGAAACAGATGTGTCAGATTCTGTGGTATCTTTCAGCTCAAGCTCTCCAGGATATATCGTATCGACATCAGAATGGAAATATCGAGTTGAAGGCCACAGATCTTTTCATGCATAAGATTTTGCACAAATCATGCTTCGTATGAATACAAAAATAGGCCTGCTAATAACGGGGCTCAATTGGTACTCATGGGAATTCCAATAGATTGTTGGAAGACCTGGTCTCCAAAAACAACATAGATATTGTCAATCAGAAACCCAAGCAGTCATTTGCAATAGTACATTGCTGTATCTCTCAACTGGCAATGCATTTCAAATAAGTTTTCAAATAATAATTTCTTTATACCTCCGTAAATCTATTATCAGGGAAAATGCTCAGTTGGTTGAAATATGGAAAAAAAAGTTAAATGGAAACCAGTCTAGTATTATAGTGTTTTCATTAATATATCAACCTAACTGGTTCAAACTTGCACAGATGTGTTCAACCAGTCTTGCTTTTGATGCAGAACGTGACCTTCTTGTGAGTGGCTTGGTCAAACCTCGCTTCAAAGTTCGCTTCCATGGCAACAGTAATCATTATCTGGTGCTAGACGTTTGAATAAGATCGGTCCCTGTTTATATACTGAAAAGCAAAAAAAAAAATGCAACACCTTACTTTTGGGGGGAAATAATTATGTAAAGTAAAGAATTTTGTATCTTAAAATTATGGATATCGTCAATTTGGTAAATATCGGTAATTTATCGGTTGGACGATTTTTTTTTGCATGTTTAACAAAACATTTGGCAATTATTATGGCGTTTCAAGGGTTTGTACTGTTCATCTTAAGTAATGCAGCAATATTTCAATAAATAAAATCTCCTTTCGTTTCCCGTAACGAAGCTAAGGCTTCTTGAAAATGGCTCAAGTCTAGCTGGAAAATCTCAAAGTAAAGGTGATGGAGAGTTCATGATGCAAAAATACACTACATTACTCCTCAACGGGGTCTTACGTATCGTATGCATAAATGAAAGTCCTTGGACCGGAAGTCCAAGGGTTACTACAATGCGCAAAGTTAGAGAAAATTCGACCTAATCATCTGAAAAACAGGCATTTAAAAATGGCTAAGAATAATTCCTTCCCTTAGATCTCGATATACTGCATCGTAAAAATTAAGCTGCAATTGTTGTAATTGAATGGATGGGAGGGGGTGTTTTAACAGTCATATGTTACTTTGTAAAGTCAACAGATAAACATTTAACACTTTTATCAAATCTCTGATGTTCTGAAAAGTGAGTTAAGCCTCACTGTATTCTTTTTTGAAAATCATTAGATAAAAAATTCAAACATTTGTAGATTACTGCTTGTTGCGTTTCTTTTGAATTTCAGTATATATTTTAGAAAAGGCAATGTCAATCGCATTTTCTAACATATGCGGCGGACTGAAAATAAGACACCAGAGTTTGCTACATTTGTTAAATATTTGAAATTTTCACTGCTATAGACGGTTGGGACAAACTATAACAACTAAATGATGACTTTGAGTCTTTCCAGAGACAACTTTTCTAGTTTATCCTCCTCCCCCGCGCTTTCATCAGAACTAATGAATATCGGCAGCATTTCTGAAGCACATGATTAACGACATAAACCCTAATTACCTTTAATATAACACCCGTTTGCATTTTTCAGCGGTTCTATGACCTGTTGCACCAGTTATTTTGAAGAGGATGGGGATTGTTATGGTAGGCTTCACATCAGCATTTTTCTTTTTTCGTATTCGTGATTGACATTTTTCCAGACTATAATTGAAAATAATTTCAATCACATGTGATTGATTGATTGAGTATATTGTCTTTTAGCCATATTTCGGCGATAATCACATATGTGATGTTTATATATTTAAGGTATTTTTAAGACATTGAGCAGAATATTCCAATTCAATCAATCAATCATTATCTAATAAAATTCTAAATTAATTATTAAATTAGCGTTACAAAACATTTTTTGTCTCAGAATGTGTAGGATCACATGGCAAGAATTGTTCAAATCCGTGTCCTCAAAATTATTTTGGGCCAAGATGTACAAGACAATGCCAGTGTTTAGAATCAGAATGTGATAAAATCTACGGATGCCCAAAAGGTAAAAAAAAGAAGATATCTACAGTGAAACTTGTCTAATCCGGATTTTGTCTAATCCATAATCTTGCCTGATACGATGTACATTAATTTTTAAGTCATTTCCATAGAGTTCAATTGTTTAAAATGTTGTCTAATACGAAATTAATGTTTTAAAACCCGGCTTATTTCTTCGGAACCAGTGATGTTCGGATTAGACAATTTTTACTGTAAATTATTGTGGCATTATGTTGCATCTTGCACCTACGAATGTCGGGCATAAGTAAGTAAAATTTAACCATATTTGAAATAAGATTAGTAACTTGCATAGCAACATAAATAACTTAAATATTGACATAAATATGCTGCATGTCTACATAATTATGTTGCCTGTTAACATAATTTATCTTGCATGTAGGGGGCAGAAATATATGCCACCGTAGTAAATATTTATCTATTCATCTAAGACATCCATCCACTGTTCAATATATATACTATACGTAAATTAAACAGAAACAACTTTCCCTATTCTTGAGACGAGTACTGCCAAAGTTCTTGGCACGAGTCACAGCAGCCAACTTTTAGAAGCTTCCAGCAATGCAGCATCAAAATTAGAAACCTTCTTTGAAAACCTACAACTGCGTCACTGGCTTGTCATCTGCAGTGTCTTTTTCCTGATAGTGTTCGTCTTCTTTGTAATAATTGGGACAGTCAGGCGTAGAAACAAGAGGTAAACATTAAATTGGGTAATTTGTCTACATGTAGCGATAAAGTACAGTGTATCGTCATAATTTCTATCTGATAAATAAAAGGCCTCTTCTGCATGATAAATGAATAAATACATAAAAAAATAAAATGATTAAAAATGATAAATATGAAATAAAAAAATAACATATATTTGTTTGTAAATTCTCATAGATTTTTAGATACTTTTTTGTCTTTTTGTGTGTGTAGTTTATTATTTTCTTGTCATTTTAAATGCTGTACTGTTTTCATGTACATGATTAAATACACATCGATTAAAAAAAAGTACATCATAATGAATAATTAATTAATTAAAAAAATGGATAAACAAAAAATTTCGATAATTAAAATACATGTTTGAATAATGATTGAAGTCCATTTTGAAGCTCTGTAATTTTGGTTTTGTAGGTTGATATGAAATGAATATTTTTTTTCAGATCAATATTCACTATTTATTATTTGTCTTCAATAGAAAGAGAGAACAGAAACAGAGACTAGACACTGGTAGCGGCTATCTAGGAACGCCGATTACCCCTCACTCCTCAACACGCTTTCTAAATGTGTCCTTCCAGTCAAGACCCATAGATGACCCCCCTAGACGAATATGAAAATGAAAACCTTCTTGATAAAAGACTTTTGAAACTATGTAGTATGCATGTGTTATTGAAAAAAAGAGATAAATTATCGTGTGTTTTGTTTAAAATTTAAATGACGTTAGAATTTTTAAAAGGTATAAAGACCCTCTGATATTAGAGATAACTTTCCGAAAATTCTAAAAAAAAATATATCCTAAAGTATGTTTTATATTTTTTAAATTAAAACATCATAACATGACTATTTTTTCACATAAAACTTAAGAACCTAAGAAAAAAAAAAATTATCGATAAGCTATTCAATAAACTAAAGGAAGCAAAATATGTCAAAAATGATTTTGACAATATTTGTACATGTAACTTTTCATGAACGTGAAGAATTCAGAAATGTCCTCTCTTAAAGAGGGGATTGTCTTCACCTTGTACGCCTTCATTCTTTGTTTTAGAAAAAAGGAAGCGCTTTATCATAAAAGGCTAGGTTATTGAAGATGAACGATATTTAGAATATATTTTGTAGAAAAAAGAGAAAATTTAGAACAGCAAGCTTTATTTTGAGGCATGCTCCATAAGGGTTCTTAACCGAAATGCAGAAATTTCACAAACATTTCGATTTTCAATTTCCTGAAAAAAGTCTATTTTGGTATCTACAAAAATAAACAATAAATAAGAGTTTATTTCCCTAACACTTCCTACAGCTCTTGATTAAAGTACATGTACGTGTTGTATCCTACGTCTTGTTCTTTAATTTCCATTAGTGAGAAATGAAATTCATTAGAATATATACACACAAAATTTTCTAAGTGAATATCGTTCATTCTAATAGACTCCACCTATTTTGAGTGGTTATACAAGAGGAACCTAATTATAAAATTAAAAATCAAGTAAATTGGATATTTTTGGTGCTACACGTAGATAAAAAAAAAAGGAGTACGAGGGTCGTTCAATAAATAATGTCCTGAACATACAATACAGATATCATATGACATTAAGCTTGACTTTCTCTCATTATTGAATCTCTAATGAATTTATAACAGTTTATGTGACCACTTTTCATCACATCATTTTGAAAAGCTGGGAAGCTGGGAAGCAAGGGCTATTCGAGACACTGCATTAAAAATGAATGGTAAAGAATCAGGAAACTACAGTGAAATTAAACGCTTCATTAAAGCTGCTGTAGAACTTGTTAAAAATCCCAAAGAAATATTCACTTAAATATGTGAAAGTTACAGCAACCAATGTCTGTTTTATAGACAAATGAGCAGGTGGATTAAATGATAAAAAGTTATAAAATGGGCATCAAAAGTGGGTACCGTCCTTGGCAACAAGTACTTATAACAACGAATGTACTGTTTTGGCAAAAGTCAACAGATTGATTTTAAGACACATAGCAAATGATATACATCAATTCGGGGGTAGTTCATACTGTTTTAAAGAAACATTTGACATTAAAAAAGTTTAGTACTCAAAGGTCACCCTATGTTTTGAAAAAATGAGTGAAAACGACAGCGTGTAAGAATTTCTAAACAATTAATTATTTTTTAAAAAAATCAGTAATTGTAGTCATCCACGTTTGTTTGAAATTCAAACAGATAATGAAACTTGAATCTATTGCTTAAAACCCTCGTAACAAAATTTACAATAAGATGTACTTGACAAAAACAGCAAAGGTCTGAGAAGAGCAAAGAACTGCAAGATCACAAAGACAGATTTATATGCAATTTTCTTAAATTTAGTGGTCTTATTGTTCAAATTCGTATTCAGAGAGGCAGTTTAATTTCTGGAGGAGACTAGAAAGCAAATTTTTGCAAAAAAATCAAAAGGTTTATGCGAGGAAGGAACCAGAATCAGGAATCCACTACATTAGATTTCTTCATGACAGCGTCCAAACCCGCAAGCCCTGAAGAGTAATGAGTTTGGGGAATTAACAATATTCTCCAGGTCTTTCGCCTTTTGACTTTTTTCATTTTAGAAACTTGAAACAAAATACTTTTCAAAAGGAAGATACGAGGGTTGTCCAAAAAGTTCGTGGTGGACAATGACGTTTTTGTTAAAATAAATGGTTCTGTATACATTTTTTGTAAATCAAAATATTTCTTATGAAAAACTAAGTTAGAATTATTTATGTTTTATTGATGAAACTTAATATTTTTTGTAAAAATCGGGGTCTTTAAAGATCGCAGATTGTGCGCACGGACCAGTCTGACATTAAGTTAATTTCATTATAACGTCAAATATTTGGATTTTGTTCATGGACACACACTACATTTCTTTTTTAAGGCGCAACACACTTCCAAGTGCTAGCAATAATCTATAAGTATAAGATATTTAATTTTTAAAATTCAAAACAATGCACGAAAATTTACGAGCTTCATTATATAAACAGTTTGTATACACAAATTGCACAGCCCAGTCCGACGCTGCGCTAGATTTAGAACAACGTTATGAATAGAAATCTCCATTTTCAGTAAATTACACGTGTTTTTAAATTCTTGTAGTGTCTTCGAATTTGTACACACCGTTAAAAAATAGTACCAATCTCAAATCAATACACTAAATATATTTCAATAATTTTGAGTTGTTTTGATAAATATTTTGTCTCTTGCGTCGTTTCAACCGTATTAAAACATATTTTTTGGTCGGACGGTGCCCCGTTCGGACGGCCAACGTCGCTTTTTTCTGTCGAGTTTCGAAACATATTTGTTAGGGTTTTTGTTTAGTATTTGCACTGTCTATATAAAAAGCGATACTTAAGATATCATAAAATGATTACAGCCTCTTTATTTTTATTAAAAAATTTTTTTTATTCATATTTGACTTGTTTTATATAGAAAATAATCATTTTAATCTGAACACTTTATATAAGAGTTTATGTCATTTTAACCTTGGTCCTTGCTCACTATCTGGGATCTTTAAAGATCCCGATTTTTACAAAAATATTATGTTCCATCAATAATAATTAAATCATTCTGGCTTGTTTTTTCATAAGAAATATTTTGATATACAACAGATTTATATAGAACCATTTATTTTCACAAAAAACGTCATTGTCCACGAACTTTTTGGACAACCCTCGTACAAGTCCAGGAAATCATATTATCTGTCATATTCCAGTATACTAAGGGTCATACCCAAAAATAAGTTTTAAAAACAATCAAAAATTGGATAAAAAATGTTACGGACATGTGTTTTAATTAAAAGAGAATATTAAGTTAAATTATTTAGACTAAATCATTTGAAAAGCGTCTTTTGCTTCTTTCCGAGCACCGAGGACATTATTTATTGAACAGCCCTCGTACATAGAAACAGTGATCGATATAAAACATTTAAAAACCTTATGTACAAGTTTGTGAAAAGGGCATAAAACACGTATTCCAGAAAATTCCAAAGGTGGGATCAGGTGCCTAGAAGGAGTAAAAACACCATTTTATCAATGTGTGTACGAAAACATAACGTCCCGACACAACAGGACAATTAAAGGTCTTTTAATTTAACAAAACTACAAATATCTTGAGCATCAATGAAGAAGTTATTTTCTAAAAATTAAGAAACGCTTAAAACACACTTAAACTCTCGCACATTTTAATGTTTGGATATTGCATAATGTAAGAAAAATGCATCCAGATCTGATATTATCTTGTTTTATTTGAGAAAGGCAGACTTATTTGACCTTCAATCATGTTTGATATTATTTCTTTTATTTATACTCGCTATAATTAAGTTCTTGGCTTTAAAAAAACATGGTTGAAATGTAAAAAGAATTGCTATGATTTTTACGCCTCTTTGAATAAAAAAATCGCTAAAAAGTAGCTCCAAAGATTTAGGTGACTCAACTAATATCACACAATTTAGTTAAAACAAATAATATAGATCACATAGAGTGATAGATCTAGGAAAACATACAGCCATGACTAATTTGTAAACAGAACACGGACCCCCAAAAATTCCAGAGGTGGAATCAAGTGCCTAGAAGTAGCAAGCATATCCTATTAATGTTGTTAACCTGGATCTCTTTGAAAGGGAATACCCGTTTTCTCGGCAAAACAATATTGATTCATAGTGACAGAATGTATAGATTATATACAGTTTATTTAAAGAAAATAAGATATGTCGGGAGTTAGCTGCAAAGTGTCTGACATTACGGTTTTAATTTTTTGAGAAAAATAATAATTTTCACCTATCTTTACTTTATTGTGTTAAATGTCTTAAATAGGCTTTATTTATTTGCTTAGGTAATACAATGAAATGTGTGGAGAAAACGAACAGTACACAAGCTAGAAAGTTCTTTAAAATACATATTTCGAGCAGATCAATCACGGATCTCCAAAATATCAAGGGGATTAGGTGGCAAAGAGGAGTGAACATCCCCTGCCAACCGCGGTCACACCAGCAGTTTGCTCCTTGTCATGATCGGGAAATTACGGGAAAATCCGTCGGGAATTCAGTGTGAAGAACTGGTCTAACAATTAGTATGAAAACCATCAGTAAGCATGCATTTGACTTAATGATAAATTGTATTTATTGACAAGATCATTGTATCGACCATAGAACGCAAGAAATGATGACTTTAAACGTGTCTGTTGATATTCTTGGCTCATCAACTTCTTTGTCAATAACTTACTTCGTTTCAGAAATTGTTCATACATAGAATATGCTCTTGTGTATCGAATCAACTGAAAGATATAAACCCCGTATACACGTGATAAAGGTATATTGCTGAATAAATAAGGGAAGTTGACGAATGAAAATTATCACGTTTATCATAATTCTTGGTTGTACGATTACCATTGATGCCTTTTCAAGTAAAATATTAAAATATGAAACAGATATGTCGGACTCTGTGGTTTCTTTTGTTTCAAGCTCACCGGGATATATCGTATCGACCTACGAATGGAAATAACCATTGTTACATAATACATATATTATAGATGATAAAAGTGAAGCAGCACTGTACTATTTACTCATGAAAGTAGACCTATCTCTTTATATAAAATAACTAGATGTACATCCAGAAATTAAATAAATGAACTTTGAGGCTATGCTTTAAAGACACCAAGTCTTATTCCTCCAAACATTCAGTTAATAGCACAGTATTTCAATCTATGCATCTTCAAACAATCCAAAACCACCAATTAAAAGGTTACAACGAACAAGATGTATATTATTTTTTATATTCTTATATATATATATATATATATATATATATATATATATATATATATATATATATATATATATATATATATATATATATATATATATAAAATTTAAAAATAAGGAAAATGAAATAAAAAAATCAATTATACAATCATTTAAAAATAGGAAAAAATTCATATTTCCTACAGTCAAAGAGAAAATACACATTCTCCAAATAGATAATTATATATATCCATCCTCTTTCAATTTACTGGATGCATATGTAAAAAAATCTAATTGTTTCGAACTTTAAGTATGTCATCATCATTTTACCATATTTAAACATTTTTCTTTATTTTTCGATTTTGAAACACATTTTCTAAAAAAATGTATTTTAGTAGGGACGTCAAAATTGTCAATAATTGATATTCGAATAATCGATAGGGGTATTCAAATATTCGATAAAATAAATAAATCTGGCATTATGAAATATATATCTTCACTCTTCTGTGAAGCAGTATATGTTTTATGCCATTATTTTGGATTTTGGAATAAAAAGATTAATTCATGCAGAAATGCATAAAATTTCATTCAATGGTCGATACAATGACATTGTCTGCAAATACAATTTATCATTGAGTCAAATGCTGACTGACATTTTTTTTTTATACTTATTGTGAGTCCATTATTTATTTGTGAGCAGGGAATGCTTATTCCTCCATGGCACCTGATCCCACCTCTGATGTTCTGGAGGTCTGTGTTTGTTCTGCTCCTATTTTGTATTGTTTTGTGGACTTTTGATCATGAAAACTGTTCGTTATCTCTATATTTTCCATACATTGAATCGACGACAGATTTTTTATATTATTTCTCGATCATGACGAGATGCACACGTTGAGTAGACCGGTCGGCAGGGGATGCTCACTCCTCCATGCCACCTGATCCCACCTCTGATGTTTTGGAGGTCCCTGTTTGCTCTGCTCCTATTTTGTATTGTTTTATGGACTTGATATTGAATACTGTTCATTATCTCCATACCCTTCTCTAAATATATCCCCATGTTTTAGAAATTTTCAGGAAATGAAAAGTCTATTGAGTTCATACATACATTTATTTATATTGGAACTTAATTAGATGTGAACATCTTTTATATCCTATTTACAAATTTTAAGATTATCTCCATATATTTTATCTAAAAAATCTATACAAACAATTCAAATCTGCAAAAAGGAGCAAAACACGGATCCCCCGAAATATAGATCTGAGACCAGGCCTGGGGGCCATAAAACTTAGACGAGCTCACTTTTAATCTCAGTCTCACTTTTTCCAAAGGAATTAATATAGCGGAAAAGTGAGACTTCGAGGTCAAAAGTGAGCTCGTCTAAGTTTTATGACCCCCAGGCCAGGTCCCGGGGCCATAAAAGTTGAGCTTACTTTTGATCCCAGTCTCATTTTCTACTATTAATTCTTTGATAAAAGTGAGACTGAGATCAAAAGTGAACTCGTCGAAGTTTTATGGCCCCAGAGCTTGGGATCAGATGTCTAAGAGTATTAAGCATCCACTGTTGATCTGTCACACCCACTTTTAACCATAAGTATTGAAAGGGTATGCTGAAGGCAAACGTAGTCTTAAAACAAGGCTTTTAATCAGTTTGAAAAAAGGTCAGCTAAAATACGACCCAATGATATGTTAAATTTGTTAGCAAGATCATTATATCGACTCTAGAAATTTCAAAATGCTGACTTGAAACAGGGTTTATGAAATCTTTGTAACATTATCTTATCTGTCAGTAGCCTTCCTCGGTTTGAAAATTGATTGTTCTCGGAGCATTCTCTTGAGATTGGAGATGCAAACACCAAATGCAGGTGGTGGCGGAATATTACAAGATAAATCGGGGAAGTTAACAATGGAAAAGCTGAAGCAATCTCTACAGACTTTGTGTCAGACGGTGAATTATTATCTTATTTCTAGTTCGCTTGAGTATGTCACTTTGACACATGAATAAAATTACTATAATTGTTTGTTTTTCTTTTTTTAAAGTCGATTTTTCCAAATGTTCACAAGTTCTTTTTCTTGTGAAGAAGTTTTTGAATATATTCTGCATTACAGTACTTTTAAAACAGATTGACAAATAATGGAGCACAATAGGTGCCCATCAATATTCTACAATTTTTAAAAGACCAAGTCTCAGACGAAGCCTATATCAATACAATAATTGACAATGAAGAAAAGCATCCTTTATTTTATTTCTTTTTTTTCTTTTTTTTTTTTTGCTTAGCGCGTATATGATGAAGAATATTTATTGACGTAAGGCAAGGGGGAATCAAAGGAAACATCATATTTGGTCTATTGTATGATCGATGTCCATGACTACACCTACATTTAGATGTACCGATAAAAGTCCCATCACATCATATAAATAACTTGAAGAGCATCAACATGATTGTTTTAGATCTATAAGGAAATGTTGACTTATACAATCAAATTGAACTATAGGGCGGATGGAATGTAAATGATACCCTATATATAAAAGATGTATGTTTTATCATTAATTCCAGTATAATTTTGTATTACGCAAGTCTTAAGGAAAACTAGAATCTTTAATTAAAAGTCTTTTTGAAGGACTTCTATGGGACAGGAGTATGATTACAAATTTAGTTTTAATCACTTCAAGTCTGCTTAATAGCAGTTCCACATTGAAAACCACAATCGTTTCTCTAAAGGATAACAAGTGTTTGCAAAGCGAGTAAGTTTTCATTCATTTTCATAACCGAACCAAAAACTTCAATATCAAATATTTATTTCATAAAGCCAAGACGACTTTCTTTTTTTTTTCTTTCTTTTTTTTTTTTTTTTTTACAGTGGAACAAGACAATGTTGCTCAAGTTTTTATGAGGAGAATAACGCATGCCATGGTAGGCTATAACTGAATTTTAAAAAAAGGAATGGTTAATGACAAAAAGTAAACCAACTAAGGAATTGGAATCTTAGCTGGCCTTATGTGGCTTCAGAAAACTGTCTTTATTCCTCGACGTTTCTATTCTTTTATGACATTCAAAATTTTACTCAAGTCCTAGATTAGCTGTATTACATGTGTTCCATATCTAATGTATCATATAATTTCACAATTGCAATGTTTTTTTTGTTGCCACAACATATTGTGGATAAATCATTGGAAGAAGATGCTCTTTTAAAAAGTGTTTAAGCTATTATAACGATTGTCATTAAAACACTCATCATGAATGAACATTTTGAATGAGAGTGATAAAAAGAAAGACAATTCATATTAGATCCGAGTTTTAGAAATCCACAGCACTGAGATTTGAAACATAATTTGAACAAGTGAATAATGCCTTTCAGAATGTATAGGGTCATATGGTGTTAACTGCTCACACCCCTGTAAGCCGGGATTTTTTGGACCAAAGTGTGCCTTTAAATGCAACTGTTTGAACAACACGTGTGACAGAATACACGGTTGTTTTGAAGGTAATTTTAGGATTAAAATGTGTTGCAATGTAACCAAATGTAACAATTTTTATGTACGATTGAAAAGGTAATGAATTGTCACGATTTTGTAAAAAGAAAAGTTGACATAAATTCATATTAATGAAACTTCCTAACTTTTTATCGTTTTATAATATAAATAGATATAATCATACAATGTTATTTCAGATGTGACAAAAGGTCCAGTAAAAGATTTGGACTTCTTCGGGCATCTAAAATTTCACTGGATGGTTTTCCTTGTGATTTTTATATTTACATTTATTCTGCTCGTATGTGGCATTGTAACCTTGAAAGGTAGAAACATAAAGTAAGTCATGGATTTAATTGTTTCAAATTTAATTGTCTCAAAAATTTGAATAATTTTTTCACTTAAGTAATTTTGCTCTTTTTGTTAACATTAAAGTCAATATTTAAAATAAAATTTCAAAGAAATCTATTTATGCATTTAATTTTGTTTTGTTTCTGTAATAAGATATTTGAAACTCATTGAAGTTTTACAATTCCAGAAGAAGACAGAAAAGACAGCTAGCTCAAAGAAATAACTACACAATGACCATTTTTTGTGACCAAGCAAGTGTTTATACAGAAATGGTAGTCACACCACATGCATCAACTGAATACCTGAACGCGTCTTTCCAGACACAGCCGATTGATAATGTACCAAGTTGTGTTTCCACTGGAGAATATCTTAGGATGGATGTCACATCGCAGACTTCTACTGAATATCTGAACGCTTCTTTTCAGCCAAACACAATTGATAATGTTTCTGAATACATCTGAAAAGGGGGAAAATGGATTTGTAGTATACTTTTGAAAAGGTTTATAACAAACTGGGGTGTCTTTGGTTTGTTTCAAAATTGTAACTTGCAAATGGCAAAATTGTAATGTTTGTTTTTAGTTAAAGCTGCTTTTGTTCTTAAACGTTTTCTTTGTCCGCTTCTCATATACATGTATTTAATTGAAATAATTGATCATTTAGAAAAAAAATTTACATTAAGGACACTTAAACATGTAATTCCTGTTTTATTCTTATAACTGATCATTGCGTTGATTAAAAATAATAACTTTTGCTCTTTATCATTTTAAAATAATTTATAACTTTTGCTCTGTATCTTTGAGTAGATTCCATTTTGAAAATGTAAACAATGTTTTAAGTGATTTCATATTTGATATTATGTACATGATTTTGTTCTGAAATAATCTTTATAAGTTAACATTCCCATAATGTATGTATTTAGCAATAACATTAAAATGAATCATATCTATGAAGCAGAGTAAGAATTGTTGTTATTTATATTTTACTCAGCAAAAATTACTTATATTTTCAATGACCGTTAAAGGAAAGTGTATAGAAGGTACTTAATATGGTTTGATACGTTTTGTTTTATTTTTTAAAAGAGTTTAATCATTTAAAAATAATTTAAATGTTTTTGCCGGAGAGGAAATTCATATCATTCGAATTATTTTATTGAATGTAAAGAAATGACACCTTTATTTAATATTTTAATTTTGTTTGGATGTCAAGAAATGATACGTGTACATACATATATTTCACAACGCATAAGTGTCGATATCTAACTTTAAGTTACAATACATGTATAAGCACGTGTCACAGTTATACTGTCTAAATATAAACAATTTAAAGAATTTTGTATAAAATCATCTAT